GCTGCTGGAGGGAGATGAACAGCTCCTCCTCCGAGGCTTGGCGTGTGCACTCCACGGTGAAATGGATCCCTCCTCCAGCCTGGTGAATATCCATGTATGTGGCCCCTGCCAACTGAACACACAGCGCACCCATAGGCCGGGCAAACGCCGCTGCTGGAGGGAGATGAACAGCTCCTCCTCCGAGGCTTGGCGTGTGCACTCCACGGTGAAGTGGATCCCTCCTCCAGCCTGGTGAATATCCATGTATGTGGCCCCTGCCAACTGAACACACAGCGCACCCATAGGCCGGGCAAACGCAGGGCGGCTGCAGGCAGGTCTACAGAACCTCCCTCCAGGGGCGATACAAAAAAAATGGTTAAAAAGCGATATGGCATGGGCACCAACCCGTCAGATCAGAAAGAGTGCTGGGACACACAGTCCTGGAGGCGCTACTCTGCCAGATGCAGGACTGTGGGGAGTTCATAAGGTGGGCCCAGGAAGGGACTGGAGTGGCCGAGATGGAAGATGTGGTGAGTGGGCAGTAGGAGTCTCAGGACAGCAGCAATTAAAAACTGGTACAGGAGTATTTCAGTATTTTAATATTCTGCTTGGCCCTCTCTATGTACCAGCTCAGTAAGTCTCAGCCCTCCCTACATCACTCAGCATATTTGAGAAAACAAAGCTTAGGCAATTCAGTGAACCCTGCTGCAAGTATTCGAATCTCCACTAAAGAGACCCATGGCAGTTTCCACATCTCAGTATTTGGCCACCAGAGTTTGGAGCCTGACCTTTGTCACTCAAGCAAATAAAGAAGCTCTTCCTGGGGTCCTACTGGGCTCCAGTTATTCCTGGAAGCAAGGGGTGCAAAGAAAATCTGCAAACCTTCAAATCCTGGCCAGTTTTCACTTGGGGTCTGCCATCCTCCAGCTGGTGACCTCAGTCAACACCCTTTCCATCTCTGGACCTAACTTTCTTCATACGTAGGTAATGAGATGATTGAACTGCAAATCTCTAAGGTTGCATTTGGCTTTGAAATTCTGTGATTTAATTTTTAAATAACGTGAAAATGGCTCCAACCAGGGATTTAGGAGTTGGCTATGGCTAATATATGACTAACACAGACTACATTTTATGATTTTTAATGTTTCATTTTTTGAAAAAAAGAACAATATAACACATTTCATTTTTGTGATTAATAATATATTTTCCAAGTTTGACTCCAATGAACGATGATTTTCAAACTGTTTCTTGGAGCCCTTTCAAAGGCTACTAGAAGTAGTGATTTGGAAGGGAGAGAAGGAAAAGAGAAGAGAAATTAGTAGGCGAGGCAGCTCCGCTCTGTTTTAAAAAGAGAATTCTATAGTTAAAATTTTCAAAAACTGTTCTACTTAATATGATTGCTAGTCCTGTATATAATATAAAGATTTGGGGCAGTTATAAATAAGTTAGTTTTTTTGTCATTTGTTTTCCATACCCAGGCAAGTAAAAATATCCACTAAAAAGACATGTAGACATATGTTGCAAAGCTTGACAACTTATTAACTCTTTACAAAAAAGACTTTTACATTTGTGCTTTGCTTTGATTTGCCATTATTCATTGCAGTTACCTTCATTGCAAACTCATGAACTCTTTCCCCAGCCCATACCGGATGTGTGTGTGCATCCACCAAACCTGTAATAGATACACCAAGTTATTAAATAGAAAGTACATAGATAGCAGGCAGACTATACCATGCTGCTCTTGGGAAAGCATGATGGTGGCATCCATCTTGGAGAAAGGTGGAAGAGGAAGAATTTGTCTATGTAGTTCCCTCGACAGAGAGGAAAGAAGACTGCCTTTCTGCATGGCTGGTCTAGAAGGCTCTAATGGAGGAGAGTGACTTAATATGATGAAAATATCCTTTATAGAAATACAGCTCCTTTTGTTCAGTAAGTCCACGCTCACTAAATAAGCTTTTAATCCATGTTGTCAAACCCATCAGCTGAGTACTAGGACTACCAGGGTACTTCAAAGGGCTCATGGAAAGATTTGTATATCTTTTAATTCTGTTTTTCCACAAGCTTTTTGAAGTACCCTCGCATATCACCAAGGAATAATCTGTTTATGAAAACAGAGTAACACAATCCACACCCCCCTCCCACAACTTTAAGAAGGAAAAATAGGAAGTCCGAAGGATGAATCTATCTTCAAGAAAGAACTATATTTGAAATAAAGAGATACTATAAAGCAATCACTTGTGACTTTTGTTTATCTGGGTACAATTCAGTGTAGTGTATCTTTCTGGAATATTTAAAATATTATGGATTAAATGGCTCATTAATGATTCTGACTGGACTACATCAAAAGTCCCTATTCAGATTGCTTTCTACTATATTCTCTTCTTTCTCATAACATTTCACCCTGACTTTGTCTCCTGACCACCAAGAACCAGAAGGCAGAAGTACTGTCGGATGTGCACAGTGAACGTTTTAAAAATATAAAAAGCTTATATAAATTTTATATAAAATTGTATTTAAAATTTACTTATAAAACTTTATAGAAGAATATATAATATGGACATAAAGCCCCTATGTTTGCATAGAACTCAAAATTTGTGAAACTTATTGTGGATGATTATAAGAAGCCATGCAACATAGGTAACATAGGAGATGATGTTTAATAAACTGATTCTCTTGTCAAATCACTAAAGATAGAATTACAGTGAAATCTCTACATAGTTTTTTGGGTTTTTCTGTTTTTCTTTTTCTACCTAGAGCTTTGTTTCACACCCTATACAAATTTAGAGTATTTCCGGTATTAGAGACAGCCTTGTCTGCCTCTCCTATGCAATAGATTAATAGTCTCTGAACCTAAACACAACACAGCTGTTTTCTCTTCAGCATGTGAGTAGGAAGAAGTGGAGTGAATTAATGGACTTGATTTCCAGATTTCCCTTTACCTGTTTAGTAACCTTGTATAAGATATTTCACCCCTCACCTTTAGTTTTCTAACCTGTAACATGTAGATAATGATACCTACAGAGCAGTTATAAAGATTCAACATGGGGCCGGCCCCGTGGCTCACTCGGGAGAGTGCGGCGCTGGGAGCGCCAAGGCCGCGGGTTCGGATCGTATATAGGGATGGCCAGTGTGCTCACTGGCCGAGCCCGCAGTGCGACACCAAGCCAAGGGTTGCGATCCCCTTACTGGTCACAAAAAAAAAAAAAGATTCAACATGAAATCGTGTTTGCAAAGCAGCTAGACATTCCATAGTAGAAATTCAATACATGGAGTTATTGTTATTTTTTAATATTTTGAGACTCTATTTAAAACAAGCTGCTACTCTTCCTCTTTACATTCCTAGAGCAACTGTTAAAACTACTTTCAGAGCGTTAAAAGAGATAGGTACCTGGTAGGATACATTTCCCAGAGCAGTCAATTCTTTCTTCGAAAGTTTCTTCAGAAAACTGTCTTCGGATAGCATCAGCAGGACCAATAGCTTTTATAAACCCATCGCTGAAGAAAAATCAAGAAATAAATTACTAAAGTTTGGAGAAATCTGACTAGTGATTTAAAATACGTTTTTGGATGCCTTGGTGTCAATCCGTCAACACTTATTGTGTTTCCTTCTTACACCTGAGTCTTTCAGGAAGTGACTCCAGCCACGTTCAAGACAAAAAGTCAACCCACGTGCAGCAGAGACTGGTTGTTCCCCAGGATCCATGTTCCCTTTTCCCACACTACTAGAGACCACCCAGAATGAAGACTACATTTCCCAGCTTCCCATCAGCCAGCTGTGCCATGTGACTAACTTCTAGCCAATAGGATTGCTCTCTCTCCCTATTCTTACTGGCTGGAATAAGGAGGCCGTAACTGGAGGTGGAGCAGCCATTTTAGATCACGGGACGACTGTCAGAAGGCCGGCCGCGCACCGCAGAGCTAGGAGGGATAGGCGTGGATAGCAGGGGCATGGGTCGTGAGGACTCCAAACAGTACCGCCATCTACTAGCCCTGGATTCCTACCTCTGTGTTTGTACATAGGAGAGAAATAGACTTCTCTCTTTTCAGCCACTGTTAATTTGGGACTTCGTCACTCACTGCCAATTAGTGTTTCAAAAACTGAGATCCTGAGCTACACACCTGAGCGCTGGAATATGCTGCGAAAAGCAGGGGAGGATAATCGACCCAGAATAGGGACTGAAGGAGATTGGGTAACCTGACAGAAGGTAAGATGGAGAGCAGAAACTGGACGCCAAGGACAGACATTATGAAAGGAAAAGAAACGATGGCTGCGGGAGTCATGAGGAGGACGAACTTAGGGACAGAGTAAGACATTTAGTTCAGTCTCCCGATTCATACAACTCTTCATCACTAACAACAGCGCTCCCTGCCCCGTTAGGTCATCCACCCAGTGTGCAGTGACCCTGCGGTGGAGAGGACCAGCAGGACCAGAGACTGACGCTCGGACAGGAAGGGACAAGGAGAATGCTCCCATTCAGGGTTACTTTTCTCCTCTTCGATCAAAACCGTGGCTCACGTGGCTGGGAGATTCTGACTGTCACGAAGATGTTTTACCAGCCGAGGCCGGATACTGCTGCGTCCTAATGGGATGTTGGGCTCCAGCGCTTTTTTTCACCGAGTGACAACCCGAGGCAGTTCAACCAGCTAGCGACAGGTGCCCAGAAGGCTGGCCTGCCTGTGTCTCTCTGGGTGCGGGAAGGCGTGTCCCCCGTTTCCCTCCACAGAGCACAAGTTAGAGAAAAGGCGGCAAGCCAGCCCGGCCGGCGGGTCCCCACCCCG